CTCCCAAGGGGCGTCCTGCCCGTGGGCCCTCCGAAATGGGGAGCTGACGGGGAGACCTTCGCTCCATGCCCCCTGCTCTGCCCTGGCCGGGGCGTGTCGGGGCAGGAGGCAACGACAGCCCTGCATTTACCCCCTGTCCTTCGCCCTCTTGTGGGGGGCCCAGGGCCGCTGGCACAGCTCCAGGTTATCCTCGCAACAACAGCCCTGTGGGGTGGGTCGGGCTGAGGGCACCGGGGGACCGGTCACCCAGGCGGCCGCGTGGCCACAGAAGACCCTGTGGTCCGCTTCTGCACTTCCAGGGGCTGCGAAAGGGCTGCCCGGGCAGCCCCTCATCCCGGACGTCTCGCAGCAGGAGGGAGCTGCCGGCTCGGTTTTGGACTCGGCTCCCCTCGGCGTTGGCTTTGCGGCCTGGAGTTGGGCAGAGGTTGGCTAAACATCTGGAGCTGCCTTCTCCGTCCCACGCTGAGCCAACACGGGCCTAATTTCTGGGGAGGGGGCAAGCGGTAGTCACTCTGCACGCGCTCAGGGGCACTCCCGCTCTCCATCTGCACACTCCAGCCAGGCTGGGTCCGGACTGAGCCGTGTGCCAGGGGACACGCAGCCGGGGTTTGTCGCGGGTGCAGCGCTACGCACGCAAGCTGGTGGACTCCATGCGCGAGGCCGTGTTCACCGTGTCCCCGAAGAGGCAGTAGCGAGGCATCTTGTGCCCGACGACGCCGGCCACGCACGGCCCTGTGGGTAGAGAGGCCGCTGGTCAGCAGGGGTGGGGGGGGGGGGGGGGCAGCCATGGTGGCAGGGGCAGGAAGAGGAAGGTGCGTGGCAGCAGGGCCCCGGGATGAAGTGCCCCGGTTCGGTTCGGGACCTTCTCCAGATCAGGGGCACTGGACCTCATGGGCCCGGAGGGGGCCGGATGTCGTTTCAGCTGCGGGACAGTCTTTCCGTGGTGGTGAACCATCCCACACTCCGAAATACGCGAGGAACATCTTCAGTTCGGGATGCTAGAGCGTGCGGTCGCTTGGATGCTTTTCTCGCCCCGGGTGAAATCCCACTGCTTATACTGGGATGCAGGGCTTACGGATGCAAGCCCCAAACGGCTTGGGTCTGGGATTCCTGGAGGAGCGCCTTCTCCCCTCTGTGCCCTCCCGCCCCTTGAGATCTGGGGCAGGGGCCCTCCTCTGGGAACCCTCCTTGAAAGCGATCGGGGAGGGGGGGCTATCCAGAGGAGGGCCTTCTCTGCGGTGGCACCCCGAATGTGGAACACGCTCCCCAGAGATGTCCGCCTGGCGCCAACGCTTCTTTCCTTTCGGCGCCAGGCAAAACCCTTTTTATTCTCCCGTCATTTTAATTGCTAATTTGTGGCTTTACACTTAATATCAGATGCTGTGCTCCTCTTACCCTTTACTTCCATTTTATTCCGTCTGTGATGGGATTGTTTAAAAACGTTGGAAGGAAGGAAGGAAGGAAGGGAGACAGACAGACAGACTTCTTTCTTTCACCCCGAGGGACAAATACCCTTTTGGAGCAGCTCGGGGGGCTGCCCAGCAATGGCAAGTGGGGCTGGCAGGAAAAGTAGGGAGCCCCCCCCCCCCTTTGTAGCTTGGCGCTCATACCGTCGGCAGCAAAACCTTCCAAGAGAGGCTGCTACTCAGAGACCACCAAACGGGAGGCGGCTGCAACGGTGCAGCCAGCTCAGGGCCAGGGGATCGGGACCCCAGGTGGGCCTGCCGGCTCGCGGTCCGACACCCTGATTGGGATGCATCCACCGGTCTCCTCCCGGTCCCGAGCTGTTCCGCAAGGTGGGTGCCGCTGTGCGTCCCGCCCCGGCCCGCTGCCGCACCTGCCCTGCGACTCACCTGTGTGAATGCCCGCCCGCAGCTGCAGCTTGCCGGCAGGCATGTGCGGGACCACCACCTGCCGGACGGCGGCCACCAGGTCCAGGGCCATCTTGGCGATCTCGTCGGCGTGCCTGCAGCCGTTCCTCTCGGGCAAGCCGCTCACCACCATGTAGGCGTCCCCGATGGTTTCCACCTGGGTGGCGAGGGGGGCGGAGAGACAGGTGAGCGGCGGGGGGGGGCCCTCCAGCCCAAGGCCTCCCCGATCCCTGCCCTCTTTGCACGGCTCCCGACTGTGCGGTGCTTTCCCAAATTATCCTTCGGAAGCGGCTGAGTTTGGCAGCCCCGGAAGGGCAGCAGATGGCGGCGGACGGAGCTTTTTTCTGCCAGGGAGCGAAGGTGGAGCCGCCTTCCTCAGGCACCCAAGCGACTTGGCCAGCTGGGCAACACACCTTGACTTGTATCGCACAGCTGCCTTTGGATGGCTGATTTTCCAGCTGCTTAAATTTGGCAGGTTCTAATTACAGTGTGCGTCAGCTCGAGCCTTTCAAAAAATTGGAGAAAGGGCTGGAGCTGATGTAATTCATAATTCTATCGATTTTAAGAAAGGGGGAAGTGCGGACTCAGCGCGAAAGGGGGGGTCCTTTGCTGCTTCTGCCTCCCACCACCCCCCCCGCTGCCCAGCGGACGAGGCCCACCTTGTAAACCTCGTAGGACTCGATCCGCGTGTCGAAGCAGACGTAGAGGTTGTTCAGCATCTCGACGACCTGCAGCGGCGTGCAGGAAGCGGCGATGGCCGTGAAGCCCACGACGTCCGAGAAGAAGATGGTCACCTGCCGGAGGGGGCAGCCCGGGCGGTCATAGCCTCTCCGGCGGGCGAGCGGGCTGCACCCTGGTGAGCTGCACCTGTGCTATGGCTGCCGCGGCCCACCCAGGAGGACGTGGGGCCCTTCAGGCGCCCGGAGAAGGTGCCCCGCCAACCGACTGGCACCTCCAGCGCACTGCCAACGCCCCACTCCGCCTTCCCCAACCAGGTGCTCTCCAGAGGTGCGTACCACCACCCCCATCATTCCCAGCTGGAGTTGTAGTCCTGGCTTGGGGAGCCCTAGCATGGCCCCATCCACACATTTCTTCTTCCTCTTCTGCACTGCCAGCGCTCGCCATAAAGGTTTCTACCCTCCTCTGAAAGAGGCCCCGGTTCCCATCCGGCACCATAATTGCCCCAAGAATTGCCTTGTTGCAGCTAATGGTGCCTCCTCTCAGCCGGAGGACCAGATGCTCCACGGGGGGGGGGGGGGGATCAAGAGGTCCCCCCATGCTGAACAAACAGGGACGAATCAGAGGAAAGAGGAAGAGAGAGGTGGCAATTATGCTTCATTAGCGGCACTCGGAGACGCTGGTGACGCTCCCGCGGCATATGCGAGGGTCTCATTGTCTGGCTTGGAGGGCCTCATTTCCAGGCAGAGATGTTGGGTTGGGACGGAGCCCACGTTTCAAAGGTGTGGTTGGGACACAATCGCAGGATGGGGGGGTTAATTGAGCCCTCCCCCCTCTTCCCCCGAGCCCCGCTTGCTCTGCCCCATCACTGCATCAGAACAAGCACGGACGGGCCCTTTCTCCACCCCATGTTTGAAGGGAAGCCTTTGAACTGGAGCAGCTTTGCTAGATCAGGCCCAAAGCTTGCCCAGCAAAGCATTTTGCTCCCGCAGGAGCCAGCAAGAAACCTGCAAATAGGATGTGAGCAACCTGCCTCCCAGGGTCCCCACCGTCCGTCCGGGAAAAGCGCCCGGCCTCCAGTCCTGAAAGCGGTGATGCAGTCGTCCCAGGACTTGTTGGATAGAAGCCCAGAGAGTATTTCTCCAGCAGGGAAGACGCAACCATCTGCAGCCCCACTCGGATTCCCTTCTGCCCTGGGAGCTCCAGGGCGTGCTCTGTCCCCGCCGGCGGACTCACCTGGTCGTAATTCTCGGCCTCGACGTGCTTGTGCTTCCTCAGCTGCCGGGCTACGGACTTGGGCAACATCTGGTGGAGAAGGTCCTCGGCCAGATGCCTCTGCCTCTTCAAATCCTCCGTCCGATCCCTGAGGTCCCGGGCGTAATTCTGGATCCAGTCAGTCATCTCTTTGAAGGACACCAGGACGATGGGGTAGATGAGGCCGGTCACGGCCAGAAGGCTAATCTTGAGGGCAAGCAAGGAGAGAAGCTCTCTCGATTTCTTGCGGAGCTTCTCCGTGCTTTTCTCGGACAGGCAGGCCTGGAGGGCATCTAAGCCCTCCAGGAACGGCTTGAGAGGCGGCAGCGGCGAAGTCTCCCAGGCAGGGCTGAGGACAAGGACCCCGTCATACTGGGCAAAAAAGGCGGAGACATTTGGGTTCTCCGTCCAGCATTCCTGGGCGCTTTCGGAGGCGGAAACCGCGTATGTGAGGATGGTGGAGATGAGGTGCCGCAGCGCTCGGGCTCCCTCCGGAGACAGCGGTGTTCCTCGGGCCTGGAGCACAGCCGCTTTGGTTCGGAGGATGAGTCTGAGGGAGGCGACGTCCACCCAGTCGGGGCTCGCCCTCATGGTCTGAAGGTCTCCCTCGAGGCCCCCAGACATCTCCAGGACCTCGGAGACGAGCTGGGAGTGCAGTCGGGTGGCCGCCGCCGGAGTGCCGTTCAGGCGCTGCCTCAACGGGGCGAGAATCTCACCGCACCCTGCGCCTTCCACTCCCGCGCACGGCTGGGCCTCCTGGCCGGACGCCTCACAGAGCGCAGCGGCTTTCTCCAGCACGCAGGCTAGCCAGGAGGCGTTCTCCGAAGCTCCCTGTCCCCCGTCGTCCGAGCATCCCCTGCACCACTCGCTCTCATCCTGGAGGACGCTGGCGAGGCGGAGAGCCAGGCTGCTCCGGCACGTGGGAAGGCCGGCGAGGGCCGTCTGGGTCTTCCTCCAGGACTCCAGCACCTCGCTCAGGTCGAGGGAGATGTTCCACACCAGCGAGAGCGAGGAGACGACGCAGGCGGCCAGGATGCGTCTCACGGTTTCGCTTGTGCGGCCGCATGGAGGGGCAGAGCATCTGGGGAAAGAGGGACGCGGCTGGCCGAGGGGGGTCTCCTTGGCAAGGGTTTCCCTCTCAGGCCAGCTCGTGTTTGCTGGAACTCCCATATTGGTTTACTGGTTCGAGAGCTGGGCTGGGACTCAGGAGATGTGAGTCTGGGTGAGTCACCAACTCTCGGCCAGCCCACCTTGCAGGGCTGTTGTTGTGAGAATAAAATGGAAAGGAGGAGGAGGATTATGTAAGCCACCTTGGGTTTCTTGGAAGGAAAGGTGGAATATCAATATAATTCAGAAATAAAGGCTACTCTGTGAGAACAAGGAGGGGGAAGGAAATGCTCCAAAGGAACAGGTGCCTTTGCTTCTCACTCTCTGCCGGACCGGATGTTTTAAAATTATGCCTTTTGCACCTGGCATTCTCAACCTAAGAGGGTTCCCAGAGTACAAGATTTGCGATCTTCCGCCCTTTATGCAGATGTCAAAGATATGCACCACCTTTTCATCAGATCCCTGATAAAAACCTTTAACATCCAAAATACAGAAACGACTCAAAACTGATTTTGCCTGCTTTTCAAGGGCTCCATTTCCTTGTACCCGTTGCAACAGTTCCAGTACGTTCAAGATGACCCCAAAAGGCAGATCAAGGTAAGAGCTGCGCCATCTTTTAAATGCGGATTCAATTTTGCTGAGTGTTTTTCTGTGCTTGGATTTGGACTGCTTCCTGCATTTCGGTCTATTGGCTTAATATCTGCGTTTTGTTTAAATGCAGAGACATATTTGGGATGGTCCTGCCTTCCATCGGCAGAACGTCTAAAAATTAAGGTTTTGGTTTAGCATGGCAGGCTTTTTGCAACTTTATACATAAATGAGCTAGAAACTCCCGACAACCCAGGAAATGGTTTGCATTCTGTAGAATAGTTTGCATTATGAAGGATTCCTGCAATGGTATAGACTGACCACCTCTATAGGTGATGCCCACCTCTATCAGAGTTACTGTATGAAAGGGTAGAAAATTTGCTGGCTGGAACCAGACAAAGGTGGATCAGTTGTTTGCTGCAGAGCTTTGACTGTTAGACCCACAAGGCAATTGTTACTTTGATTAGCAGTGGCTCTGGCTTGTTTTTAATAATTATCTAGAAATAAGCGCCTTTAATCGTGCATTTACAGCTTCCTTTCCCAAATATTGAAATACATCACTGCAAGAATTTAGTATCTGTGGCTGCACGAAACACAAAAACCTATCAGAAGTTCATTTAAATGGCTAGCTATTAATAGCAGAGAATACTGTAAGTTCTGTTGGGTTCCTTGAAAGAGGAATTAAAATGGAATATAAAGGAAGTGTAATAATAAGACTACCTTGAGGGCAGAAATGAGGTGAGATACACAGGTATCGCAGCAGGTGTGCTTCTGCTGGAAAAAACATCTGTTCTTTGTTGCTTAGTGAAATTTATTTGTCAGTTAAGTCTACTTCTGTGCAGGGTATATTCTTAAATTATCCCTGCTTGGAGACTGCAGAAGCAGCTTTGAATCTGCTAAACGTATTTCATGAATCTTTTTTAGATAGGTATTTTGTTGTTGTGAATCGGATATTCCATACTGAATCAGACATGTTATTTTAAATGACTGAGGAATCTGAGGGGGAAATGACAGTCAACCATATTTGGCTCATCTTTCATGTTTACACACACATGGGAATAATTTAATGTGAGATTAGCGTATATGAAAATACTTTTAATTGTGGCGAGTTTTTCTGTTGACCTGTCTCTAATGTGCCCTTGTAAATACAATTTCATTTCTCAAGACAATTTTCAAGTCCCCACCTGTACGATGGGATTAATTTTGCCAGCCCCACATAGCATACTCCAGGCTCTTTCGTTCATATTCCTCGAGGAGAAATTTAACAGAATAAATTTTTTAAAAGCTTGGTACAGTCCCCGAAGCCCATCAGTCGCACCAAATATTGGTCAATCACAGTTGATTTAATTGCTACTGAATATGCGGCGACGCTGGCTTTTCCCGTGCGTAGAAAGGCGTAAGAAAAAGGTTTTCCCTGGCCCAAAATATTCCCTGAACGTTCACCAAAATTCACTGCAGCTCGGTCACCTGTTTGTCCGAGTTTTCCGGGCTCACCTGCAAGTAAAGACGCTGCTCTCCTGCAGTGGGACCTGGGAAAGCTTCTTGCCCTCTTGGCTCGGGTTGGGTTTCCCCTGGACCGACGCAGGGGAGCCGAAGAAGCGACGTGCCATGAGGACCTGTCCCAGATCCACACCCTGGGAAAGACAGTCCGGAAACGCGCCCGGAGAACTCCATTTGACAGCTTTGATTCCCGAAGGCAGCGACGGAAGGTACCAACGCCTCGTTCGTGGGGGAAAGGCGAGGCGGCTCGGGTACAGTCGGGAAGCACCCGTTCTTCGGAAGGTGTTCTCTCCCCACCCCACTTCCAATTTCCGGACCATGCTAGCTGCCCTCCCTGCTCACAGCCGTGTATTTAATGCTCTTTTACCCTGCTCCTCGGCAAAATAGGCCTTGTCTGGGGAGTAGAGCTCCTGTTTCCAGTTTCCAGTTGGGGTAACTGAGGCAGGGAGCTGGTGTCTTAGCCGTGTGGAGCAACAGGAGTGCTTCGTAAGTCCGAGGCACAGATTGCTGAGCAACAGCAAGTAAACAGGCCTTTTCAGAGGCTGCATCTGCTGCCTTCCCGTGTGGTTCAAGGGGCAAAAACCTTTCCTGCCCTGCAAGGCAGCCAGAAAGCTGATTTTGGCTCACTGCAGTGCTTTGGAATGGAAGACCGAGGGCCGCCGCTGATACGAGCTGCTCAGAGATGTCAGGAGACCAAATGGTAGGCATGAATAAACCATCAACGGACACGGTTCGTGTAAATTTGAAAGGTGTTTATTTCCTGCTTAAAAAAACAATCACCCCAAACCTTTGGTATTTTGAAATAATCACAACCAGCGCATTCAGATCACGAGATTTAACTCCCCACGATCCAGAATGTTAGCGACAGATTTGGAGTAAATGCAAACTGGTCAGCAGCCCCATCCCAACAAAAGGCTCTCATGAGAGTGGATTGCTTCGTACACTATGCACGCCAGGAGAATCCTCGTTATCAGCAATAAAGTGTGAGAGAAATATATACATATACATTCTTAATTGGCTGTTCCTCATTCTCAAACTAGGGTTGCAGTTCAAAGAATCAATGTCCCAAATCTATCTGTAATAAATTAAAGTATACACAAGAAATGAGCGGACATCTGGCTAACGAAGAGAGGGGGGCATTATCTAATTAGGCTAAGCTTGAGAACTCCAAAAGAGCGATGGTCCAAAGAAGCCTGCTTATTAACATCCTACCAATCTGAAACATCAAAATAAAAAGCCACAGTCAGGTTCAAGTATTCCCCACCGAAGAGTGAATTTGAATGGAAGCAAACGGACCTTGCGAGACGCAGGGTTGGAAAAGAACGGAGGCGCTGAGCACGGGTGTCAATGCTTGGACCATCACAAACAGTCCCTGTCCCTTTCCCGAAAAGGCACAAAAGGATATGCGGTCTACGGAACGGCCTTGTCCGGAGCGGCCGGCTTGCGCAGCTGATCCTGCATCCAGGAGGGCCAGTCATTTCTCCACCCCCCGAGAGAGCTTTTGGTTCAGTCCGTACAGCACAGGGCCTTCTCGGGTGCCCCAACCTGGCCCCGCCAGAGGGGTCGGACCATGGCCCCGGGGGCTGTGGGCTAGCCCACCCGGAGGGCAACCGGGCAGGGAAAGAGGCCAGCCCGTGGCCGTCCGGTCAGTTTCAAGACGCTCAGTGGGTTATCCTTGCTTCATTTGCATGTGTGGACACACCTGCACTCTCTCCTGGCTATGTCGAGAGCAAACGGCTCCCAGCGATGAAGTCGAACGTTTTGCAACTTTATTTTTTTAAACGAGGAGAAACCATAAACACGTCCAAATCGGGAGGTGTGCTCCTCCCGCCTTTCTCATTGTAAGGGCTCCGAGAGGGCTCAGGGGCTTGCAGCCCCCCAGGTGATTTGGAATTCAGTCCCGGCAGGCACAGCCAAAGGTCAGGGCTGAGGGGAACTCAGAGCATCTGGAAGAGGGGGGTCGTCTACTCCCCGGGCCCACTAAATCGCAGGTGCTTTGGGGAGTCGGCTGCACTGCTTGTGGGACCCCCCAAGGGGCGTCACCCCGCGCAGCGAGCTGTCAAGGGGACCCTGCAGGGCTGCTGCTCTTGGAGTCTTTCCATGCAGGATCGAGCACCAGCCAGCACACTTTCCATGTGCCACGGCAGCTCTGCATTGTGGGGTGGCTGAGCGCCACACCTGTCCTCCCTGGGGCTCGCCACATGTTGGGACTGCGGGGCCCATCCTTCTCATTCCGCACGGCTAATGGGAATGGTGGGAAATGAAGTCCCAACACTTCTCGAGCGTGGCAAGCCAGGGGAAGATTGCTGGGGGAGTCCCGGGTTTTTCAGGAGCGGGACAAGCACAGAAGCGAACCGGGAAATGCGGGAATTCAGTAGTATACACACGCGATGCAAAGTGCACCGGCCCCGCCGTTGAACTTTTAGAAATCTCAAGGAAGGGGCAACCCGGCTTCCGGCTGGGTTTGCTCCATCGTGGGCTCGAAGGACCATCTCCCTCCCCCGTTCCTGCTCACACTGACGCCTGGCCTTCAGAGCCAGTGAACTAAATTCCTCAGCCCACGGCACCACCACAACATTCCTCTTGCGGGCTGTGCAGACCTCAGACGCCCTGCCGTGCGGGTGGCAGCTCTCCTCCGGTTCAGCTCCCATCCTCCCTGTCTCCAAGGAACATGGGCTACTGCCTTCCTCCAGGTTTGTTTACTCTGCTATCATCGCGAGACACTGAACACTTCAGTCTCCTGTCCTTCAAGACGAGACTGCAGTAGAGGAGGAAAGGACTTCTGCCTGCCTCTGGGAGTCCCAGCGGTGCCCCCCAACTCCAATTATGAAGCAGTCCAGCCCCCCCACCAACTGCTTCCTGGTAGCTCAAGCGACCTCTTCACCAAACCCGTCCCCGTCTACTCTGGGCCCTCAAGCTGTGAGCTCGGACACTGGTGGGCGTGCTGACTTCATACACCGGCACCCCAAGACAACGGTGGTCCGGGAAGAGCCCCGTGGGAATGGGGGTGCTGTGCACCCAGCTACCCCGTTCTGCTTCTTGCACGGGCGCAAACGGTGCTCCCCCCACCCCTTCACCCTTGCTGCTGAGCAACCCCTCCTGGATCGAGACTTCCCGTCCAAATCTTGTGGCCTCCTACCTAGGGACACCCCCGCGTGTGGACACCCCCACACGCCGGTCGTCCGCAGGGCACTCCACGCTCCTGTGCAGGCTTCCTACGTCCGGGGCCGAGGAGGCAGGCGCAGTCCACCGAGGTGCTGGCACGCGAGGCCCGAGCGGGGCCTAGACTTTGCTCCGGAAGAGCGGCTTGGCCCCCGGGCCGCAGTACTCGTTGTAGATGAGCTTGAAGAGGAACAGGTGGAACAGGGTGATGAGCGAGGCCACGCTGAACCAGAAGAGGAAGGGCAGGCCCGGGTACTGCTTCGCCATGTGCTCCTCGTGGGCCAGGATGGCCTTGAGGTGCAGCGTGTGCCTCAGGTCCTGCAGGTGGACCAGGTCCGTGGAGATGTAGAGCAGCGGCGTGATGGGCTGGGTCACCATGACGGGGAAGGTGTGGCCGTGCGGCTCCGAGGTCAGCTCCACGGGGTCGTTGGCGCAGCCCCCCTCGCAGGCGTACAGCTTCACCGGCTTCTCCTGGGGCTTGACGGACACGTGCAGGAAGGGCTTCCCCTCCGCGTCCAGCAGCACGGCCAGGTTGATGAGGTCCTGGTTGTAGTGGATCCCGCGCAGCGAGTAGCTGTTCTGCAGCACGTCGGGGTCCGACTGGAACTGCAGGTGGTTCTCGGTGAACTGCAGCCCCCCGAAGCTCAGCACCATCCCCTGCATGACGCCGTGGGCCCCCGTGGCCAGCAGGCCCTTGCAGCCGCGCTTCTGCAGGGTGAGCTTCCACAGGTTGGCGAGCTGCAGCACCTGCGGCACCGTCGACAGCTGGGCGGGCCACAGGTTCTCGGCGTGCATCGTCGCATGGCCGCTGAAGCAGTGGTCGGCGTAGTTCAGGGCGGCCTCCATTTTCTCCCTCTCCTCGCTGCTGAGGAGGGGGTCGAGGAGCGGAGCCGGGGTGGTGGACAGGACGTAGTACAGCGTCATGTTGACGGTGTCGCTGGAGGGGGTGTGGGCGTCGGTGATCTTCCGCATTTCCACCCCTGGAAAAGAGCCACAGGCAGGTTGTTCTCTCCCTGGTCCGAGAACTCAAGCTATTCCTCAGCTGCTGGAGCGCGGAGGGGAGGCGTGTCGGGCGGGAATCCCACACTGAATTCTCGCCCGAGCCTCGCATCCATCGGATAACCTCACCCCACATCTGCTCTAACGGGAGCGGTAATAGCAACACCACGGCCGATTCGACAAGGAGGCCGTAGCGTTTCGGATGGGCAGTCAGCCCCTGTGGAAGCCGCAGCCTAGAGTTTGTAAGAGCTGAGCAGGGCTGTCAGGAACAAGCCACGAGGCAGTCCGTTCCTCCACGGGGTCAAGTCCGAGAAGACTTGATGGCCGAGAGCAGCAACATTCAGTTCCAGAACTGCTCTGGCTGCAAGAGGCTGTTTTCCAGTGGGAAAACTGCACAAAGGCCAGAAAATGAGGGGGTGCAGGGAGGGGGGCACAGCCACAAGGGTCTGGGGTCCAAGGCAGGCCAGATTTATCCCACAGCACTGAGGGATGATGTTCCTGGCTTACGGGGAGGTGCTCTGAACCCTTTAAATTCGCTGTGTACGTGCTGTCACTGACTCATTTTACCCCTGCGACCGTCTAAGGGGAAGGCTTGACTGAGGATGAGCAAACCTCACACAACTTCCACAGAACAGCAGTGAAACGAGGGCCACCCACGGCATGAATGGGCTTCCCAGTGGCTGCTGGACTAGATATGGCTTCAGCCTGGTGCAGCAGGGCATCTTGGCTCCGCTTGAACCCGATTCCCCCCCCCACCCCGCAGCCACCCCAGGAAACCCTGCCTCAAGAGCTGTCAGGAAACAGGAAGTCTGGGTTTGCATGTAAACAGAGGGCCCTTCGGCCCAAGGCTGCTGACTAAAATGTAGGACAGAACGATGTTACACCCCTTCAGGTTCGTGCTTTCTATCCAAATCTGACTGGCAGTGCACCCTAAGCCACCTGCCTGTTTCGTTTTTACTAGGCTGCAAATGTTTGGTTACGAATCGGAGGACAGGGAAGTGCAGAAAAATTTAGTTTCTCCCACGTATACAGAAATAACCACCTTAAGCACCGTTTGTGGCAGAAAAGCACTAAACTAGAAGAACAGAAAAAGAGAGATTATTTTACTCTCCTGGAACGCCCCATGACGATCATAGGTGAAAAAAGGTTGCTTTAGAACAGTCATTCTTGTGAAAAAAAGGCCAGGCTTTGCCAAGGAGGTTTCTGTCGCCTGGCAGGGCATTTTATCATATCGTACCCAACCAAGAACTATTATCTAGACTACATGGAATAGCAAAATGCAACGTCATGGGGCTCCAACAAACGGTCAAAAACATTTGCAGAGCTCTGCTCCTTCTGTGAAAGTGAGCTAGTTAAGTCAAGGGAGAGGCACTCTGCATGACCTCAGAGACACATCGTAACCAGCCTGCAAATGCATGAGAAACAAGAAAAGCCTAGTTAATGTACAATCCGGGACATAAGGCCCCCAAAGCCAACCGATGTTGCTTGTCAAGGGCTTGGCCTCATGGCTTTGCTCTCTTTTGCGTTTTTTTTTTAATTATTATTATTAGAACATTTCTCACTTTTCAGCTAAGGGCGGCTCCCAAATCAGCCTATGCTTAGAATTAAAACTCTCAAAGTGTACAGGAGGGAGAGTGCAAACGGAAACACGCTCTTCTTTTGAGGGTTAGAGGACGCGACCCCATTCCTAAAGCTTTCCTTTGCACCCGCCGGTGACCCAAAGGGGGGCCCGCTGGATCTCTTCCCAGGAGCCCCCTGCCCGTCCTGGAAGGGGCGGGCTTTGGTCAGGGCGCCAAGCACTCTGGGGTACCAGGCAGTGCTAGAGGGGAAAGATCGGAGTGGCGGATCCCCTGCGCCTGGCAAAAGCGCCCGGTCCCCCGCGCGCAGGGGGCACCCCGGGAGACTCGCCCGCGCGCACCTGCCCCCCCCGGTCCCCGCGCACCTGAGATGAACAGGTCGGCCCAGGCGCGCCGGTGCTCCTGCACCAGGTCGTCGGCGCGCAGCTGCAGCAGCTCGGCCATCTCGCGGCGGGCGGCGTCGCGCAGCCGGGCCAGCGTCTCGTCCAGGCGCGCGGCGTCCACGGGCTCGGAGGCGTGCACGACCGAGAGCAGCGTGGCCTCGAACTGCGCCCGCGGCGCCACCTGCACGCGGCCCGCCAGCCGCTGCGCCGCCACCGCCACCGCCACGGCCGGCGCGCCCGCCGGGCGCAGCGCGCGGCCCCACGAGAGCGCGAACTGCCGCTCGCCCGCGCGCTCC